CTGCATGATGTCGGGGCGGGTCCCGCTGCCCTGGAAGCGGGGCCGGATGATCCTCGTCCCGAGGAAAGGAAAGCCCGCGGACTTTCCTTCCGCGTACCGGCCGATATGCCTCCTCGACGAGGCGGGCAAGCTCTTCGAGCGCGTGCTCGCTGCCCGCCTGACGAGAGGCATGTCCGACGGTGGTCCCGGTTTGATATCGCCCGGTTGGCGATAGACCACGTGCGTTCCCTCGCGGGCCGATATCTCTCGATATCGCCAACGCCTTTAACACCATCCGCTGGGACACGATCCGGGAGGCACTCCGAGAACACGGGGTGCCTCCGTATCTCCAGATCGTGCTGCGGGACTACCTGTCGGACAGGGTGATCGAATACCCCGGCCGGAGCGGCGTAGTCATACGTCGGAGAGTCAGCCGAGGCGTGTCCCAGAGGTCCGTTCTTGGACCCCTACTGTGGAACGTGGGGTACGACTCGGTGTTGCGCGTGCTCCTCCCGCCCGGTGTGCGTGTCGTCTGCTATGCGGACGACACGCTAATCATCGCGGTCGGGAGAGAGTGGACGAGGACCATCCGCATTGCGGAGGTGGCGGTGGCGCTCATCGTCGCCAGGATCCGGGACCTGGGGTTGCAGATCTCGCCGCCAAAGACGGAGGTAGTTATGATTCATGGACTGCCTCTGTCGCGGCGGGTCCCCCAGGCCTGGGTCCGAGTAGGAGACGCCTGTGTCCGGGTGGAGGGAGGTATGAAGTATCTCGACGTCGACCTGGACAGCCGCTGGCGCTTCGAAGGACACTTCGACAGCCTGGTCCCCCGGATTGAGGGCGTGGCGACCCTGTTGGGTCATCTGATGCCCAATCTCGGGGGGCCGGAGGAGAGGGTACGCCGCCTCTACATGGGGGTGGTGCGGGCGATGGCCCTATACGGGTCATCCGTGTGGGCCCACGACCTGATGGCCCGCCGGTAGGGCCGGCAGCTACTGCGGCGCATTCAGCGCTGCATTACCATCAGGATCGCGAGGCGGTACCGCACCATCTTCCACGAGGCGGCGGCCGTCGTGGCTGGGGTCATGCCCTTTGATTTCCAGGCGGAGGCTGACGCCGATCTGTAGCGGTGTCTGCAGGGCCTCCGCCGGAACGGGGTCGACCCGCCGGACGACGCGGTCGAGGTGATGAAGCGCCAGTGCCGGCGGCTCGCTCGTGAAAAGTGGCGGCGCCAGCTGTAATCGACCCTCCGGACGACGCGGTCGAGGTGATGAAGCGCCAGTGCCGGCGGCTCGCTCGTGAAATGTGGCGGCGCCAGCTGTACGAAAGCGGCGCCGCCCGGCAGCGAGCCGTGGGCGCGGTCCTGCCCGTCCTTGATGGATGGCTGGACCGTCGGCACGGCAGGCTATCCTACCCGCTCACGCAGGTACTCACCGGGCACGGATGCTTCGGGGGGTACCTGCAGAAGGTTGGAGTCGAGGCGACGGCAGAGTGCCACCAGTGCGGCGCGGAGGTTGACTCCGCGCATTACGTGCTGAAGGAGTGCCCGGCCTTTGCCAGGGAGAGGAGGGCACTCCATTTAGAGATAGGGGGAGACCTCTCGCTCCCGGTCGTGGTTGCGGCCATGGTGGGGAGCGGGAGGACGTGGAGGGCGGTGTTCTCCTTCTGCGAGACTGTCGTCTCGCGCGATCCCGCTCGTCGAGAGAGGAGGAGAGCAAGGCGGGGTCGTGGTCGGGGCCGTGGGGCCGCACAGCCGGCCCCGAAGGCGCCGGCGGGGCGGGGCGTGTCCCCACCCCCCGAAGGCGTCTCCTCGCTCCCAATTCGGCTCCTGTGGCTCCCGCCTTCGCGCGCGCGTCCGCCGGGGCCGCTGATACAGTCGGGGTGGGGTTCCCGGCTGCATCCAAAGCGGCCCGGTAGTGCCGGCGTCAGAGCGCAGTCCTCTGACGTTGGCGGAGTAGAGGAGGGGGGGTCACCGTGGTATCGGTCACCTCGGGGAGGCGTTTCGATCGCCCCCACGGAACGGGCTCCCCGATAAGGGGAGCACAGGCGCGGCGGTGGCGGTGCGTTCATACGAGATCCCGCCACCGCCGAGTTCCGCCCGAGAAGGCTGCCGCGGGGGTTTCAGTGGGTGAGAGTTCCACACTACCTCGGAGTCCCACTCCAGGACTCCGAGGTGTGCATAATGCATGTCCCCCGCGAAAAAAAAAAAAGGGCAGTGGGTCTGTACCTAGAGTACGGGCAGTGGGTCTGTACACTAAGACTGTTTGCCGATCTCTCTGGTTTCTAGTGAGAAGCCAGATATCGGACGTGTTTAGTCTTTGCCTGGTAAGTAAGATTTGGAGAAAGATTCGTGCGTGCAAGGGTACGGATTAGATGGGAGTCTGCTCCGTAAACAGAGAATCTCGCTTGCACTACCATGCTTGTGTACTCCTTTGGTTCGGGTCTGGTACGCAGGTCACCAGCCCAAAGCTCCATGGCAGTAAAAGATGGATCCGGGTTCGCGAGGTGTCGCCCGTCTTTCCTATTTTCTTAAACCAGGTTCTGGCGACAACACTTGCATCGCGATACTTGTTCATACTGTAGTTTAACGTGGTTCATTGTAGACTTAATAACTGCTTGGTATATAGAATATTAGGTGCGTAAACGAAATGATCGATGGAACTTTCTCCATTCCGTCTATCTCTTTCGTTTGAGTATTAGCGACTAC